ATTCCCTCCTCTTCCACCCCACCCCCCCTTTCTTTCTTTCTCTCCCTCTCTCCATCCTCCCCCCCCCCCCTCCCATACAACCATGTCCCACTCTCAGGGCTCCCACGACGGCGACATCCTCGACATGCTGCAGAAGGCTGCCGAGGAGGGTTCCTGCGCCACGCTGTTGCACGGTGAGGACGGCCAGAGCGCCACCGTCGACGAGATCTATGCTCTGCTCGTGGCCACTAGCCATGCTGTTGAGACCACGGTTACCAAGGTACTCCCGCTCTCTCACTCACTTACACACACACACACACACACACACACACACACTCTCTCTCATGGGATAGGCCCCTCCCTACGTGACACTGACTCGCCGCTTCCTACTCCTGCCGTCTCTCTCTCTCTCTCTCTCTTCCCCCAACTCCCTTCTCCAGGATAGCGAGGGAAATGTCACTGGCGTTGACACGCGCCTCCTCCCGCCGACCATCGTCTCCGAGGTTGCCGCCAACTCCAGCCTGATGACCCCCACCCCACCGATGACCCCGCGCGAGAAGGAGCCCGCCACGCCGGTCGTCTATGTTGATTTTGATTCCCTGACCGAGGAGCACTTCCGGACGGTCGCCCGCAAGGTGGTCAACGAGATCAAGTCCGGTGATGTGATTGCCCGTGGCTCCGGTGCCATCAAGTCCGCGGTCCTCGGTGTCGCGGTTGTCGAGTGGATTGTCAAGTATGCCGCCAGTCTACTGGTACGTGTTTTCTTCCCTGTGGCCATCCTGCCTTTCGTCATTTGTCCCCTTTTGTCCCCTCCCCCCTCCTCCCCTGTGCCGGCTGATGTTCACCTGGCTGACTGTGATTTCTCTCTCTCTCTCTCTCTCTCCCCCCCCCCGCCCCCTCCCGCAATCTCCTACACACAAAGGGCATGGCTGGCCACTCGATTTCCAACGAGACTGCCGTCCTGATCGCCAACCGTCTGCTCGATCTGCACTACGCCTTCCCGACTGATCTGCAGGCGACGCAGGATTTCTCCGATGCTAAGGCTTCCTTCCGGTGGATGGGCGTGCGTGACATCCCTCCCTTCTCTCTCTCTCTCTCTCTCCCTCCATGCATCTGCCTTTTCGCCCTTCTGCTGTCCATTCCTGACGCCTCCACAACCTTCCCCTTCTACTTCTCTCCTTCTGTTCTTCTTTCTCACCTTCCCCGGTTTGTTGTCCGGTAGCCTGCCATTCTGTCCGGAGACAAGAACGCCCTCGGTGTCATGCTGTCCCTGATGCAGGAGACCCTCGAGACCAAGGCCCAGAAGGTCATGATGCGCCAGATTGAGGGGTACGCGCATGGCTACGCACCGCCGGCCTTCGCTGCTACTTGGCTGCTGACATTTGTTTGCTGTACCCTGCCCCCCTCCCTCCTCCCTCTTGCAGCACCTTCTCTGAGGAGGTTGCCACCACCTGGATTCGTGAGAATGTTGGTGGCCTTGGCACTGATACCAAGGCCGCCAAGGAGATCTTCAAGATGCTGGTCAAGCGCGGGAGTGTCAAGAAGGCCGGGCTGCTTGCCGGGGTGTATGTCTGGCCCGCCAACAAGGCTGACGCCCCGACGTCCCCCTCGTCGGATGCCTCCTCCGACTGAGGGCATTGTTGTATACTCCTCCTCGCGTCGGCCCTGTTGTTTAGTTTCCTTCCTTTCTCCCCTCTCGCCCTCTGCGCCCCGTTGGTGAGATCAATACACATGTGAAAAATGCAAAATTGCCCGCCAACGTGTGTGCGCCTGTGCGTGCGCATGTTATTGTTGTTGTTGTTGTTGTTGTTGTTGTTGCTGGGAGTGGAACAAGCAGGTAAAGTGGTCCGGGCTTCTATGTTCCCCCCTCGAAGAGGGGCTTCTCTTCCGAGGGCGGCTGGTCTGCCGGATCGGAAAGCGTATGGTCGGAGGATGGGATGGTGATGTCGGCTGGCTCGGTGGATGCTGCCCGCAGCATGTTCGGAGACCGGTAGTCCGGGCAATATTCCAGCAAACACCGCTTGACAATGGTCCAGTGGAGACCAAGCTCGCGGGCGATGCGCTTCACTGGCATCGGCGGATGACGCGCGGCCAACTCCATCAGGGTCCGAAGCCGGGAGTCACTGAGAGCGGTGGGCGGGTTATACTCCGGGAAGTGCCTGCGAAGGTGTCCCCGTGTCGCGGTCACACTGAGACCGATTTCGGTGGCGATTTGCGTCACCGAAAGGACCGGTCTATGTGCAACCAGCTCCCCCAGGCGGCTTTGGATGTTTGACAGGAGGGCTTCCTGGCGGGCAGCCTGATAGTCGGGAAACAGCCGCCGAAGGTGCGTGGCCACAGTTTGGGGATGGACGCCAAAGTGCCGGGCGATGGCGCGAAGACTGAGTCGCCGCCGGGCCATGTCCACCAGCTCGGCCTGCTCCTGGAGGGAGGAGAAGGCCCGTGTGCTTGATCCAGGGGTCGGCGTATTCCGAGAGGACAACCCTGCGGCGGGTGAGTGGCCAGGCGAGGATACGGCGACCGGAGGAATGTCCGAGGCCAGGGTGGCCAATGAAACGGGCTCAGCACCCGAATGCGAGCCCACAAGTGAGGCCGAGACACCGTCCATCGGCTCGCCATCGCTTGCCTGGTTGTCCAAGCTCGGGACTTCGAGGTTGTCCTGCTGGGAGCCCTCCGGGAGGGGAGGCGCCCTGTGGGGGCTTTCCATGGCCGAGGGCTGGTGCTTGGGCCGCGCATCGGCCAGCTGGTGGGACCGCGCTCCGGCAGGGGCCCGGGACAGGTGCCGCTGGAGGGTCTTTCGCACGAGGGATTCCGGCACGAGGAGCTCATTTGCGATGGCGGCCATGGAAAATCGGGAGTCCTTGGTGCCGGTTCGGGCCAAGGTCAAAATGCGGCTCTTGATGGTCGGCGTGGCGTCGGGCAATTCGACCCGCAAGTCCGGATGGCGTCGCCGCAATCTGGCCACAATCCACAAGACGGTCGATTCGGCCAGGCCAAAGCGCTCGGTCAAGTGCGACAGCCGGGCCGCGGGCGTGCTTTGGCAGAGGCGCAAAAAATCCCGCAACTGGGCAGCCGAGAGCCACCGAGCCACCATGCCGTCATACTCCGGAAAAAGGCGACGAACCTGCCTTCGGGCAAACGGAGCCGAGGTGCCGAGCTCCGCGGCGATGTAATTCAATGGCGGCAGGGGATTCTGCGCCAGCAGGGCCTCGAGACGTGCCTCCAGTTCGGGAGCAAGGGGACCGGCCTGGCGAGCTTTGGATTTGCCACGGGTGTTGGGGCTGGGCGTGTCCGAGCGAAGATGCGGCATATGGAGGGTAAGGTACTCGCGATACACGCCGGCCAGGCTGGCCAGCTCCAGTATGTTCAAGGTCGGGTTTTGGGCAGCCAGCTCGCCGATGCGCGCATTCACCCGCGCACAAGGACGAGTGCTACTCGGGTGGCGATGGTCCGGGCAGAGCCGGGCGATGGCCTTGCGAACGGCCTTCTGCTCGGCCCCCAGCGCCAGAGCCATCTCCGAAACGGAGAGGATGGGATCCCGTCGGGCGCACATGGCCACCAGGGCAGCCTCATCCGCCGGTGACAGGTGCGAGGCCTGCGGCGGGGTGAAGCCCGGGCACACGCGTGGCAGGTGCCGGAGGGCAGTCACGGCCGGGATGCCAGCACGCCGGGCCATGTCGACGACAGTGCGGCATGTTGGATCGGCAGCCGCCTGGCGAAGGGCCTCCTCTTGCGCCGGGGTTGGGATGAGGGTCCGTGCCGGGGTGAACCCCGGCACATGGAGTTGGATGTGCTTCTGGGCCACGGCCGCCGACATGCCAAGGGCATTGGAGATGTAATTCAGACTCGGGGGGAAGACCGGCTCGGCGGTCAGGCGCCGGAGCAGAGCCAGCTTCCCCGGGTCCAGGGGGCTCATTGTTGGGATGTCCTGTGTCCAGTATTCCGGAACCAGTCGCCGGAGGTGGCCGCGCGTCTGCTCGGTCGACAGGCCCACCTCGGCAGCGATGGCAGCCACCGGCAACGGGGGCCGCATCTGGGCCAGGTCCAGCAGGTGGGTCTCCTGTTCGAAGGAGAGCATGGCTGTTCGAGGCCGGAAATCCGGGAAAAGGCAGGCCAAAATGTGGCGCACCTGGGCCAAAGTAAGGCCGACGCGCTGGCAAATGTAGCTCAATTGCGGGGGTGGGTCAAGTTGGACGAGCTCGGCCAGGGTGGCCTCTATCTCCGGGGTGAGGGCCCGAATGACCGGCGGAGAGTACTCCGGACACAGGCGCGCCAGGTGCCACAGAGCGACCGTCGGCGAGACGCCCACCTCACGAGCGATACCATGTAGATGCAGCACCGGGTCCGTTCGTCGGCCCAAATCCTGCAGGGTATCCTGCTGGAAGAGGGTCAAATCCGACCCAGGCGGGGCCTCATGGCTGGAAAGGGCAAAAAGAGCACCTTCCCCCGGGGCAGTGGCTGTAGTAGCAGCAGTGGCAGCAGTGGTCGTGGCCAAGCGTGGCCGCTGGATGGCGGAGGGATGTGTCAGACGTGCGGGCCGCCATTCTGGGGGGGGGGGGGGGGGGGGAGGGGCGGAGGCGCGCCAAGCACAGGAATACACACCTTCAGAGGGGCCGAGCTGGCCGAGTCAGGGTCGTCCGCCGGGGCCCGCCTCATCTGGCAGCGGCGGCGGTGACGGCAGCAGCGGGTGACAGAGGGAACGCCAAGGGGAGAGGGAGAGACGAGGGGGATTTGCGTGATCGAGATGCTCCGGCGCAAGCGCACGGAGGCCGGGGAGGGAGAGGGGGGAGCGTGACTCGCGGGATGGGGGCCGCGGCCTGGAGCTAACGCGGCGGCTGACAAAGGCCGCTCGAGGGCCCTGCCCGGTGGTGGCACAGCCATCTCCCCAAGATCCCCTTCTGCCAGCAAAAGCGTCCTACGCCAGCCGGCAGTACAGCGGGTGCGCGGGAGGACCACTGGATTGTTTCACCGAGAGCGGCGCTGTGAGGCCCCCCCCCCCCCCGCATGGAGTGGCGATCTCGCGGCCACCGGGCGATGCGCATTTTCCGTGGTGCTTGATATTGGATTGGAGTCCCTGGGCACCCATGGTTGGATGGCCGAGTGGTTAAGGCGCCAGTTTAAGGCACTGGTGGGAAACCGCGTGGGTTCGAGTCCCACTCCAATCAAAGATTTCTTTTTCCCGCGATCGCCAGCCAGGCCGAGACGGGTCACCCGCGCCGCCGCCAGGGGGGGGGGGGCTCTTTTCGCGGAGTTCGTTTTTGCGAGTATTTTTCTTCCGCGCCCTGCGGCGGCCCGGGAGGCCGGGGCGCCGGGGGGGGGGGGGGGCACTCCGCTCCGTGGAGGAAGAATGCCCCTCGTCCCGCGGTCGGTCGCCCCATGCCAACAGACCGCCGGGCCGCATGTGGCCGAGATGACCCCCCTGGGTGGGGACGAGTCTCCGGGGGGGGGGGGGGGGGGGGGGGGGGCGGCAGGCCCACGCGCCAGGGTCCCCTTTTTTATTCGCAGCCCAGCTTGAGAGGGCCAGATGTGTAGTCTCTAGCATCCGGGCCCGGTGTAGTGGGGGTTGGCGGGCCGTTGTCCCGGCGGCCCACCTGCCAGCGGGAACCGTTGCGTTGATCCGCGATTCCCAGGCCCCGCCTCGGGCGGGCCAGGGCAGCGGGTGGCAGGGAGGGGGGGGGGGGGGGGGCACACGCGCGCACGCCCATGGTGCCCGATCCCGCGCGCCTGGGCCGGGACAGTTTCCATCGGGCCGATTGGTCGATCTGATCCCGGCGGCAGGTGCGCCTGCCGGCCGATTGGGGGGGATTCCGGCCGGTCGGCCGGCCGGAACGGAGGGGGCTCCCACCTCTCGGTTTGCGCCTTTTCCCCGCTCTTTCTTGTCCCGCCTGTCCCGCCTTCCCCCACTCATTATCGCTCTCCATCTATGGCCTCCGGCCTGCTGCGTCCTCGCCTTCCCCCGAATATTCGCGCGCCGGCCCATGTCTGGTGGGCATCAGCTTGAAAGGGATCTGTACTCACCACCATGTGCCCTGGGCCTGGGAGCCAGACACTCCCTCCCTTGCTCACTTCTCCTCCGCTCTCTCTCCTTGTGTCTCCCC